AGGTTCCAGATTTATCGTCGTGCGCGACTCGAAATCGGGGGGAAAGATATCTCGAAACGGAGAAACTTTTTCCTCGGACCTCGTTTGTTCTTCAACGAGGTGGTATTCGAATCGCGTAGCGGAATCGAAAAGGTGGAGAGCATCGTTAAAAGCTTTTATCGCTGGGCGAAGTGGAGGACGGTGACATCCGGAAGCGCTTTTTATTCCCGCGACGACGGAAAACGGGAGCGTCGCTGGTGAGAAAATAATCGTGAAAACGGGGAAAGAAACGGGAGAGGATGGCCTTTACGGCGTTAAAGGTAACGAGCAACGGTTAGTCGGATCAAACATGAGCCACGGGATAAAACCAGAAAAGGAATATCTTCTTCTTCTTCTTCTTCTTCTTCTTCTTCTTCTTCCTCCTCCTCCTCCTCCTCCTCTTCTTCCTCTTTTCTTCTTCTTCTTCTTCTTCTTCTTCTTCTTCTTCTTCTTCTTCTCGTACATTCTTATGCAAATGAGTTGTATAAAGACGTCCGTTCGGACATCTTTAAATATTGTTCCTCGAACGAAATTACCCTAATTTTGTCCCGATACCTTCCTATTTCTTATCTTTTTTCCCTTCTTCTTCTCTTTTATTTTCCTCCTCTTTTCTTTTCTTTTTCCTGTTTCAATTTCTTCGGGAACACGGTAAGCGACTCGGTGGTATTAAGTTACCCGAATGGACAAGCCGGCCAAACGGAGTTGGGCCGCGACTAATTTTTCAGCGGCTCGCCTTACAAAGCGTGCATAATACGCGGCCTCGTGGTGTGCGCACTCGTGGCTCTGGCAATCAACCGCCTACCACAGCCACGAGCAACACGAAGATACTTGGTAAATCGTGCCACGCCGAAGCAACAACACCCGACGGACTAATCCCACGGAATCGGCCTCTGTGCGCACACGCGCGCGTCTCCTCTCACTCTACTCGTTGGCGGGGACGGGGGACGGTGACAGATGCATCAAGGCGCGCATTACACGTCGCAATCTGCTTAAGAAATTATTAGAGAAGTTTGAAGCGATCATTCGGATCTAATAACGTTGTTAACCGCCGCCGCGTTTCCCTTTTCATACGTCAACACCGTGTTATGTTAATCACGGGTTGAGTGATTCTTTTTCTTCCTCTCCTTTCCCCCTCCATCGCGAAAATCGTGCGCTGCAAACCATTCCAATTATCCACCACGCTAAGCTTCGCCTTAACCTTGTTCCAAGTTTCGCTTCGAATTAACGAAATTAAACGTTTTATTCGTTAATATGTTATCGTATTTTCCAAAACAACGTACTTTTCGATCGATTTTTCAATCTCTGTAATTTCGATAATTTCGAAACAACTTTTTTTTCGTGATTAAGCAACGTGGTGTGAAACACTCGTCGAGATCGTAATAATAATAATAATAAGAATCGTAGGTAGATATTATAAAATTTCCAAGAAGAAGAAGAAGAAGAAGGAAGAAGAGCATTCCCCCTTCGATCGAGCGGAATAAATTCGAATCACAATATTTACACGTGGAAAGATGGCCGACTATTTCATCGAGGTGAAAGTAACACGTTTATCCCCCGCCACGGGTGATTGTTCGATTATAGGATTAGCAACGGATCCCGATTTTTCACCCACGGCGGTCTTTGATCTCTGCAACTCGCACCACCCAACGACGAATAACACGCGCCATTAAAAACCGTGGTTATAAATTGCAATTACCGATCTACCGTGCGATCCCCTTCGATCACTCGCTCCAACGCGCCTCCCCTTCCCTTCCTCGTCGCGGTTGTCAAACGAAATTCAACCTTGCCACCATCTCCGTATCATCGTTCGCGACCGGATCGTCAGAGAGGGAGGAAGAGAGAGAGAGAGAGAGAGAGATCGATTCAAAATTTATCGATCGTGGTGGAGGTAAATTGAACGTGAGAAGGGGATGGATGTTTAACGCGTGTACGTACACGAGTTGCGCGAAACTCGAGTCCCGCTCGAGTTACGAGCGAAAACGATACCTCTCGCGTATCTATCTATCTATCTATCTCTCTGCCGATATTTTCTGCCAATCGATATATATATATATATATATGTATGATAATTAATCGTTTCGAGAGCAAAATTTGCAGAACAATTCGGGTGTAACGATTCAAAGGGGAGAAAAGAAGAAAGAAAAGAATAAACGAAACGCGAACGGTTTGAACGCAAGGTTTCTCGAGAAGCTTGGAAAATTTGCTCGGGAATAATGAAACGCCGTTTCATTGTCTATAATACGATCAACTCCAGAAGCGAAGTATTGCATTACACCCAATATATCATAATCTGCGTGGCAATTTCATGGTGCGTTTGCGGTGGTAACAGCTCGACGGAAGCAGGCCGGCCTCGACTCATCTCGCTTCCGTCCCTGTCCGCTCTCACTCGTCAGAGAGAGAGAGAGAGAGAGATATCGATCGAGGAAATCATCATAAACCGACGTGGCGGCCATTTTACGCGTATATATATATATATATACGTATATGGCGACGTGGCGCGTGGGCGCCAAGATAATTACCGTTTTGAAATCGTATACGTAGGGACATTGATAGAGCCGCGGCGTCTTAACAATAGTCACAGACGCGATTCATCGTCGGGTTTCTTTTCAATCGTGGAGACAGCGCGTCGAGCGATGGAAAGAGAGAGAAAAAACTATTGTTCCCTTTCCCCCCAATGGAGGAGATACAAGGATGACGTGTGGTGTATTCAGAGGTAGAACAACACGTTTCTTCGATCTATCTCTCTTTACAACTTAATTAATACCATTTCGCAAACCCTTCCTTTCTTTTTCTCTCGTTCATTCCTTCGAAGGAATGGATCGATTCGAGCGACGAGGTCTTAGAAAGAGCGCGCGAGATCTGCTCGCCGCCACTTTCACGGCCAATTTCGCTCCTTCCAAACGGCGCGATCTTTCCCCTCGCTTTCTCGCCGAGCAATCACCGCCTCGATCGCCTCCTCCAGAAAGTTCGTTAACGTTCCAAAACGAGTCTCTCTCTCTCTCTTCGCTTCGCTTCGCTCTAAATTTCAATCGAGCCGATACACACCTCGATACTTTCTATTCGCGCGGATAAACGGCTCGATATGTAAACTAATCGCGTTGGAAGAAACGCGAGCGAGACGTGCCGGGTGGAAAACATTGGGGGAAGACGAGAGAAATGGGAGGAAAAATGGGGCGCGCACCTGGGTCTCAGATATATATACATAGGTGGGGCGTGTTGGACGTTGGCACAGCTTGGCAAAACGCGTAGGCCGCGTGCCGCGTATTATGCCGATCCCCCATAAGCGCGAATCGACTTTCAGGCGCGCGGCCGAGTCCACGCAGAAATACCGTGGCCTGTCGCATTGAAAACGCGCGTCAAGTGACGCTGGAATACGTGGCCGCTTACACGGGTACGTGGGCGAGCGGCTATAGAGCACCGGGGAAGGACCAGGTGTCGCAGGTAGCCAGCCAGCGGTTCCCATTTTCCGCCCGAGTTCGCGCGCCAAAGAAACGAGTTCCCACGCTGATGATGGAACGCGTGCTTCCTTCGAATCGACAATTGGGATTCCTCCTAGGATCAGGGGGGGAAGAAAAGTGTATGCATTTTTGTTTGTTCCAGGAAGAACGCGAAGATAAGAGGAGGGAGAGACAGGAAATGATAGGGTAGGTATGTAATATCTGTAACTGCGGTAGCAAGTAACAGATAACGGTAAGTTCGAGGAAGATCGGGGAGTAGACGGTTGAAACGAGACGATTCCCGGTATTAAAACTGTGCCCCCCTGCAATCGCACAATAAACATCTGTCTCCTTTTCCTTAATATATCGATATCGATGCGTAATATCATCCCGATGCTTTCCTCTCGTCGACGTATTTGGCGAGAATCGGCAATCGAGCCGATTTATCTTTATCCGCACGACACCGCGATTAGCGAAGGCGCCGCCGGAGAGAAAAACGGATAGAGTCGAAGAGGGAGGGGAAAACAGGAGGAAAGGAGCTGTGGCGTTAATCAATGCTGGTCCGCATTCCACGCGAACGTATGCACGATTTGCGCTCGCGAGAGTGGCGATTTTCCACGCCAAACCCTTTCATTATTTCCACCGAACGCTTCCGTATCGCCGTTGATCGACGCGAACCAAGCCAATTTGAATTTTGCGCCCCGCGGCACTCTCTCTCTCTCTCGAGAAAATCGCCTAATTACGCGCGACGCCTTTCGAAGAAGTATCGGCGACGCATTTTATAACGGAAGATCGACTCGCAAATGACGGTGGAGAGAAGACGAATGCGATATCGCGAGTTATCGAGACCGTACGATTATCCCTAACGCTTAGGGCCCCCACTTTTCTCCCTCGAATTCCCTAGGGACACCGTTTGGGAGCCGTTGACACCGTCTCTCGCCGAGGCTTTCGGTAATTCGATATCCGAAAAAAGAGCAAAATCCGTGGTAAATAAATCATCGGATCGATATCCCAAACGTTAATTTCTCGTTCTTCCGAGAACGTTGTTGGTCCCGTTGACGCGAAACCGGCGTTCAACGAATGTTGGAACGAACGGAGGCAAATTATGGAGAAGAAGGATGCGTTATTATATTTTTTCACGCGGAGCGGATGGGGAACGGGACTAGTCGAGACGAGCGTCCTCCGGCAGACCTTGAGCGGCGATACTTGTCGCTCGACAACGCGCATTGTGTTGCCCCCTTCGCTTGCTCGAACGAGACGGGGACAACAGGTACGAGCAACGTTCCCGGTTACAAATTGTTCGCGTGCAACAACCGCGAAAAAAAGTAACAGTAACCTTCCACGATCGCGGAATATTTTATACCCGTTTAAAAAAATTCCACGGATCGTAAAATTGCTCGTCCCGCCAACGTTTCTTAATAACGGCGCGCCGTTATTCAAATACACGGCGCGCGAACTTTTACTATTTGCTCGCCACGGCGTTTACGTACTCCTCCTCGCGTCCTCCTCGTCGGAAAAGGAAAAGACGCGCACTCTTACTCTTACCTCTGACAGCGGCGTTCAGCCTGTCCAAATTGGCGAGCGTGAGCGGGACAGGGCCGAAGTGCATCACGATCCTGCGGCCGTCGCCCGTCGCCTCCGTCGTTTCACGCCGCGCCATAAAGATGCCCGTGTAACTCGGGCGTATGTATCGGGAGCAGGTGTCGTTCAACGTCAGATCGACGAGGGTGGCGTTGTGCAGCGTGCCCTTGATCGCCCTCTTGACGCGCACGTGCACGTGCCCGTTCCTCAAATCCTTTATCTTCCCCGTGAATATGTAATCCGCCTGCCGCACCTTCCCCACGAACGTCGTGTCGTTTCGAATCGCGGCCGACAAGTTGGCGCGACAGTCCAACAGCTCCTTGGTCGACGAAACGGCGAGCGGGAGCAGGGTGACGCTCGCCCACAGGATCAACACGCCGATCTTCGAATTGGCATCCATCTCTCCTTTCCTTTTCCTCGAATTTTCGTCCAACCTCGTTCGATTATTCCCGCACTTCGATCGATCCGCGGTTTAAAATTACACGCACAGCTAATCGAGATCTCGAAGAGAGAGAGAGAGAGAGAGAGAGAGGAGGA